GGGGGGGGGGGTCCAAAAATCGTTCACTAGGACAGACCCGGTATATTCCTAGAGAACGATATCATTTTCCCTGAATCAATTCTCTGACAAACTGTCATGCATTCCCGAGTTCATCTCAGCATAAGCTTTGATACCATAAAACTTTGAAACAGAAGAACGACATTTAAACAATTTAATTTATGGTTGCTAAGTTTAAAATCTTTTTAGAAAGTAAAACGGCTCTGAGACAAGCTAAGGATCAGGCAGAAAGGGGGGAAACAATCCTAGAAAATAGGAGGAAGCTTGCTTCTATAGGTAGATTCTTAAAGTCTATTTAAAGAATTGATTTAAACACATTTACCTGAGTAACACCTAATTAATAAATTAGTTGTTAAGTTATTTTAAGATAATAATTTTGTTTGTGCAGGCAGGTAGCTTGGAATTTTTTAATGTTGGGGGAGGGGGGGTCATTTCAGTCTGAGCGTGAAGCTTTTAGTCTGAAGTGCTTTTTCTTGAGCTTTTACAGCGAAAATAATTTATGGCTATTTGTGCAAGCAAAATATTTTAGTATTTCATCTTTTTATGGTTTCTAGTCTTTAACTCAAATCTCAACATAATATCCATTTATGATTCCAATTTTTTTTGTTCCTTGTTTGTTCTTTTTCCAATTGTTCCATCCATGTTCCGTTCCATTCCGTTCTTGATGTTCTTAGTCAAGAACGGTTCCATCCCATTCCATTTCGTTCTTTGTGTTCTTAGTCGAGAACGGTTCCATCCCAAGTGTTAATAAATTATTTATCTAATTTCTGTAGTGGACTCATCAAACAGTCCCTCTTAATACTGTGGTGTAAGCTTCAAGAAGTAAAAAATAGAGATGGAAAAGTTTCTTAATAAATATATATATATTTATATTATTATCTATATTTTCAAATCTATTTTTACAATGAAGGCACTCTTGATTCAAGCTTTTTTGATAAAACTTTAGTTGAGGGCAAAAGTGAAATTTTAAAGTTTATTTTTTTTATTTGATGTAATTATTCTTAAATGGAAAACAAGCGTAATTTGAAGTGACCCTCCGTTTCTAGAGTGGAATAATGGCATGTCCGATGTACCTTTGAAACCTTCATTTCTCCATCGTTTCTGAAGCAATTGAAATGCATGAGTCACTTTTGTAGAAAACCCACAAATGAAAATAATCAGTTTTCAAAATGAAAAACATGGATATTTAATGCAATACTTGATCAGACAAAGCTTTGTAAGGTATTGTTGTGAATCAGAATTAAATTATGTTTGCAGTCACTTTAAAGCTCTCAATTGATTCTTTATTAATTAAACTGCTTTGCAGGTTTGTTAACTTTGAAGAAATGATAAAAGAAATTTACAAAATGATTTTAAAAAAAGATTATGAAAAGCTTTAAAAGTTTCCAAAATCAAAAATCCGAGTTTTTTTCAACAAATCTCCAGATGTAATATTTAATGAGCCACCACCCCCGTGTAGGGGGGGGGAGCATGGACCAAGGCCCCCCTTCTACGCCCCTGCATGTTCCGGACTTAGATCACGTTCCTGATAATAAGAATGCGGTCCTAATTTTATCGTTCTTTTCAAACAATGTTCGTTCCATGTTCGCTCTTCTAATAATCATTCCAATATTATTAAGAAAGCGTTCTATATGTGTTTGTTTGTTTTTTCGGAACGATGGGAATGTTCTTGATAATTCCATTCATTCTTATGATTAAGAACAATCATTCCCCAGGAATGACGCCCAGTCCTATTTATGATGTATACAACTTATTATTCTATGATTCTTCCATTTCAAAGGGCAAATACAGTTAAAGTACAGTTAACCCAGAACTTTTGAGATATCACAAGAGTTTTTTAAAAATGTCGTTTTCTAAATCTACTCATAATGGAATTCTGCAGATATTTAGTTTTTTAATTGACTAATTATATGGAGCTCTTCAAAACTGTTAACTCGCATCCTTTATGGTTATACTTTATATTCACATTTAGTGAGAGTTATAGGTATTACAGGTATTACAGTTGTTTTGTATGTAATTTAAAAATGTTTTGAATATTGTGGCCTCAAACGTTCCTTGATGTACGGCAAAAGGTCTGAAAACGAATCTGAAAATTACTGCAGAGTGATATTTACAATTAATGGCAATTTGAATTGGGGGGAATTTGGGGAAAGGGTATTAGGAGGGAGGTAGAACAACACTCGACAGGTATTCTGAAAACAGGTTTTTCAGCTGACCTACGCGCCAATTACCTGTTGGGTTATAGCACCCCCCCCCCCACTTTAACCCTAACAATTCAGTTCAGTATTCCCTGATTTCATTTCCATACGGTTCGCCTATATATTCTAAAGTTTTAATTGTGAACGTTGTGTACATTGTGTAATACTGTACATCTAATTTATAACACATTTTTACAATTTAAAACTACATGGTGCTTTAAACATTCCAAGATTATTAAATATTAATAGTGGTAAAAGTGATGAATACAGAATCAAAGAGACTGTAAGCGGAATTTCAAGTGACCCTCCGTGCAAAGATGGCAATGCCCAATTCACAACGATACCCTTAATTGAACCATTTTTATTATCCCTGGATATAATGTTGATTCGAGCATTGTCATCTTATACATATATTACAGTCCCTTTAAAGTTTTATACATAATTGTAGAAGAATATGGGAAGGGAATGTTGTAGTCTAGTTGTATTATGTTTGGGAGCATTGTCATCTTATACATATATTACAGTCCCTTTAATGTTTTATACATAATTGTAGAAGAATATGGGAAGGGAATGTTGTAGTCTAGTTGTATTATGTTTGGGAGCTGTAGCGAGTCTGTCAGCAATGGCCTTAGTGTCGATAGGTAAATTAATGGCACATTCAATTCTCAATGGTCATGGTACGGCCTGTTAACTTTTTCAAGAGCTATTCCTGTTTTGGAATCTCAAAATTGTTTAAATTCCAATTTTAATTTTGTAGGGTGAAAGTAGGATGTAAGAAAACAGGATGGGAGGGAACAGTATGGGAGGGAACAGCTGGTGTGAGGGAACAGGGTGTGAGGGAACAGGATTTGAGAAAACAGGATTTGAGGGAACAGGATTGGAAAGATTAAGATGGGAGGGAACAGAATGGGAGGATACGGGATGGGAGGGAAAAGGGTGGGAGGGAACAGGATGGGAAGAAACAGGATGGGATGGAACAGGGAAAAGATGGAGGGAACCAGGGGCGGATACAGGATTTAAGTGAGGGGGGTGGGGGCAAGATTTTTTAGAGACAAAGAATTCATAATTAGGAACAAAAATCGCGCTGCAGGCGACAATTTTTGTTGACTTAAAAGACTCTAAAAGAGTCAAAATTAATGTTTAAAGACTAAAAAACTAGATTTTTAACTTTTTACACATTATAGTTCAATAGGACAGATATTTTTCCTGTTTTGCACTAGGGTTTCTTTCCCTTAAGCATGCTATTGAGAAGCTATTCTGAAAATAGGAAAAAAAAATTCCAAATTCATATTAGGATTGAATATGTTTGGGTGTGAACTAAGGTAAAAAAAATAAAGGGTTAGATTTATTAAGTAAAAAAGGACGAAATACGAAATATAGAAAAGTAAGACAATTTAGTCGTATCTGAATCCATTTCGTGGTTATAAAATAATATTAATATGTTAAATTTTAATTTATTTAGGTGTTTCAACAGATCATTGGACTCGTACAGTGGTAGACAGAGCTAGGAAAATAGCATCAATGTTTCAATCCTCCCTGGATACAATCAATATATTAATCCTCACTCAATATATTAATCCTTCCTGAATACACTCAATATAGTAATCCTCTCTGAATACACTCAATATAGTAATCCTCCCTGGTACGCTCAATATATTAATCATCCCTGGTACATTCAATACATTAAGCCTCCTTAAATACAATCAATTCTCTCTGATTTAATTATTTAGTAATTTCCTCCCTAATCTTTTTCCTTATCTAAATTATACGATATATATTATATAATCGGTTTTTTAATGCAATCTGTTATTTCTTGTCGAAACAGAAATTTTTCTCAAAAATTGTCTTTAGCTTATTTTTTTAAATTAAAATATTAGAATTCAAATATTCTATAGAAATATATTTCTATAATGGGGGAAAAATGTTGTATTTTTTAATATTAACAGTCGACACAAATTTTGATTAAAAATCTTGAAACTATTGCCAATGGGCCCTCTCTAGTCAGTAAGTACCCTCTAAATTAGAATAATGATTAGGAAATATATTTTTTTCTCCATTAAAAATGAATTGAGAAATACGTTAAAGAGGAACCGGTTTCCTAGAAATTATGTTTACATTTTGAATTCGAATAACGAAAAAAATATTTTTTCTATTTTGATATTTTCTTATTATCCTATATTGCACTAGAGTAAAAACACAAGGAGAAGAGAACAATACTGAGTACATGTTTTTTACAAGAAATACAGGGCTATTCAGGTAAATAACATGTATTATCAGGGTTATCCGAAAGTAATGCTTTGTACGAGATGACTGTCAAAATTTATTAAGTATTTTTTAATATTTATGGTTGCCTTTCATCAGCTTCAGCTTCACCAAAGTTTTATTTTTTTGTTATTTATTTTTTATTTTTATTTTTATTAATTAAGAACACCGAACAGTTTGATAATTTGTATATATTTTTTTAATGATTCATAAACCATTTCTCAGGTCCCGCGCAAATTTTTTTAGAACTGTTTTCTTTTCGAACGATCTTTAATCTGTTTTAGCATCTGTTTCCCTTTAAATGGTTTTAAATCTGTTTTATCATCTGTATTCCTTTTTAATGCTCTTAAATCTGTTTTAAAATCTGTTTCCCTTTTTAAAAATATTTGAACTGTTTCCCTTTTAAATGATATTAAATCTGTTTTAAAATCTGTTTCCCTTTTAAACGATCTTTAATCTGTTTTAATATCTGTTTCCCTTTTAAACTCTCTTAAATCTGTTTTAGAATCTGTTTCCCTTTTAAATGGTCTTAAATCTGTTTTCTCTTTAAATGGTTTTAAATCTGTTTTAGAACCTGTTTTCCTTTTAAATGATCTTAAATCTGATTTAGAATTTGTTTCCCTTTAAAATGATTTTAAATCTGATTTAGAATCTGTCTTCCTTTTAAATGCTCTGAAATCTATTTTAGAATATGTTTCCCTGAAAAAGATCGCCCCCTTGAAGGTTCGCCGGGTCTCTTTCTCAGTATTGTCGATGATTGGTGCTACTCCAGGTGAGTTCAGGGGATCAGCTAGATTAAAAATTTTGTGTGAAATAGCGCTTAGCTTTAATGCTTGATCCATGTTGGCAACTTTTAACCCTTTCGCCCCGAAAGAGAATTGCTCTTTATTTTCTGTTTTTACACTTATTATTAAATCTTGAAAAATATGTCAACAAATGTGAGAAAATTTCGTTTTCCTTGTTTTATTTTTTAGACACTTGTGACGTCGTGTAGAATTGGTCAATTTCTCTGTTGCCACCTATTGTACTTGATATTTATTTGCATAAATTGAGTAATGTGATTCTTTTGGTCATAGTACACAAGTGGGATGTTACAAATATTTTTTCCCTCAAACTTTCAGGTTCTAAATTTTTAATGCTTCTTGATTATTTCCAAGAACTTTTTTAGTAAGTAAACATGCTTTTATATTCTTCAGGCGTCCCAACTCCTAAGGGTTACAGGTTTTTTTAATTCGATTATTCAGATGATGGGGGGTTTAAACTTATATTATCGATATTTACTGGAAGTTATCAAACTTTAAAATCCTAAATTTTTCATCGCCTTTATTAATGGTATTTTTATTAAATTGTAGTTCCTCCGCTTTATGAATCCAACATCATATTTTGAATTTTATTATATTTTTGTTTGTTCAGGGAGTTTTATCTGAATGATATAAGCAAGGGTGTATTTAGTCCCCCTGGGCTCTCTTCTCATGCAAATACACAGCTTCAACTTCATAGGAGTTCTCCCATTCTACTTTTTGGATATCTTTTCAGGTATCACTAATCATTTACACTGAGAATCATAAAACTGTAGATCAGAGGACGACTGTTAGATTCTTCTTTTGATTTTTATAGTCCAATGAACATGTAATTACAGTGAACACAGACCAGTTTCAATTTAAAAATTGATTTTCAATCTGACGGTTTAAATTTTACTGTTTTACAATACCATCAAATACACCAAACATTGTTAAAATGTAGTCTTCCTGCCACGGCTTTATGGCCTGTGTACAATTTTTTAATCCTTCTATTATTTTTTAATTTATTTTTAATTTACCAGTATGGCCTTGGTTGGATTGCTTGGATTATGCGGATGCTGGCAGCAATCTGCAAATAAGCTGATAACAACAGCTGCCTTTCAGCTGTTGGCAGCGCTGGTTGGCGCAAGCGCAATGGCCACTTGGCATGCCGCACTCTTCTTCGAAATGGAGAAAGTTCATGATGAAGGATTTCCGCTGAGCTGGCCAGACTGGCTTCAGGTCAGCCCCTCTCCCGCGTCACTCCCCTCTAAAAAATTATGAAGAAAATAAATTCCAAAATTTTTAAAGAGTAAATGACATCTGGGTTTAATTATTAAACAGTCAGGATTATTTTATTGATAGGGTTTACAAATAAATTTTACAAATGAAAAACCTGTAATTTAGTTGAACTAATCTGAAAACTTTAAAATAAATTGTAAGCTTATAAAACACCATGCATATTTAATGTATCATTCAAAACCTACTGAAAAAAGAGGCATTTTTCTAATGGTACACACGAAATAATTAAAATCTGCAAGTTTAATTGATTAATTTAAAATCTGAAAACTGTCGAGTTAAAATTGCTTTGTGAACACACGGTGGGATTTACTGAAACCTATCTTAATTTGATCCATACTTTTTTATTATTTTTAATGAATCAAAATGAATTAAATTCAAGATCCCTACAATAGAAATCGTTATTTACAAAATTTGCAAAGAAACAAATTATTTAGGAAAGTACAACAGTTGAAATTAGCTGGAGCTATATAGTGACCTGGGTTGGAGTATGTTTGACCCTTCTGGCTAGCCTCGCTACTTCAGCTGCTGCCATCTGTCTTCGCTCAAGAAGAAGGTTAAATCATTTGTCAAATTAACCCTATCACGGTTGGAAGGGCGGTGTCTTCCAACCCCCTTCTGTGTTTTTTTTTCTAAAAAAACTTAAAAGTTTTTCACTTTTTCAACATCAAAGTTGTGAACAAAAAATCAGAAATGCTTAAAGGGACCGTTCACTTATTTGGGTAATTTGAGGGTAAACTAAAAATAGCCTATTAGCTATTCATTGGTATTAACCCTACTTTTTAAAGACAACTGTGGTCGGAGAAAAAATCGATATATCATTCAGAATTCCAGTGCAAATTTATGATACCTATTTGATGCTTTTAGTCCTGGATTTAAAAAAATTTCAAATGTTAAATCAAAGTGAAGTTTCTGATAGTTAATTGGAAATATCTTAAAATTTTTTTAATATAAGTTATTTAAAACATTTGACGGTTTGATACTTTTTCTCTATTTCCCGTGATTTATTGAAGAGTTGAAATCCCGGTTTGTCTGAAAAAGAAAGTCGTCTTTGTATATACGTGTTTATTTCTTTTGTCATGTTTGAACACGAAAAATGTTAATTTCTTGCTAACTCTAAAATCGAAAGTTTTTACATTTTATTGTATAATGGTTGACACATGATGTCATTGAAATATGATAATTTTAGATTTTATTGTACTGTTGTTTCTGAAAAACGTTTAAATAGTGTCTATGCAAAGGTATCAGTCAGACCTTGCCGCTGGACCGCTTTTTCTCTGGTCATAGTTATCTTTGAAAAGTATGACTAATATTAATGAATAGCTATAAACATGGTAAGTAGTTTACAAAGAAATTACCCAAATAAGTGAACGGTCCCTTTAATAACATTTTTATTAATTAAGCATCAGGGCTAAAATTTATATACTTAAAAAGCCCTTGAAATTTGGATGTAATAACATGTATTACATGTTAATATTTTTCAAAATTAAAAATAATTTTTCGGAATATTTAAAAAAATCCGCCCTCGCACCCTTACTATTAAATTTAGAGATCTAACTTTTTTTAATAAGCAGGCATTGACAAGTTGGACTAAGGACATGTATCACGCCCACCTATACTCAATTCTATCTACCCTCCCCCATATGAGACCAAAATAGCCCAACCGTGAAAGGGTTTAGAAATCGCTGTTTGTAAGGAAACAAGTATTTTTGGATTTGAGATACAAAATTACAATTAATTCTCGTGAAAATATAACAAATATATTTGTCAAGTTGTACATACATTCCCGAGTTACGTCCATTTATGATAAATTTAATAATTATCTGAATCAATACGACCTTTTTTTTTAAACTGCGAATGTCATATTTCTGAAACAGTGACACACACAACGAGTAATATTAAGAAATTTTAAAATATTTTTAAAAATGTCATGCTGTTATGGGTTGTCTTATCACATATACAGTCAATTCTTGCATACAACTTTCCAAATAAAAATAATTTGAAATTATAGTTATTGGAAAAGAATTTAAGAAGTTCAATGATAAAAGTTTTCTTGCAACTTCTCTATTGTAACGTAAAAACAGGGAGATAAAACTGAACTTGAATATCCCTAGGGACAAGTAATTTCCATAATAGCCCCCGTATTTAGAACTTGGGAAGATGACGCACTACGCATGAAGTTGAAAGTATCACGTATGTTTGCTCAACACGCGTATTTTCCTGATGATATTAGATCTTCACATTCTCCCAGTATTCATGACAGGTACAATAGGCTCAGTTACATTTGGCATAATATTTTTGCCATAAATACATTTTCCATTATACGTTTGCCATAAGTAACACTTGCTATTATACGTTTGCCATAAGTTTCCCTTGCCATAATTACATTCAATTATAGTTACAATTATCAACATAACATAACACAAAATTTGATATACTTTTTTAATTTAACAATTATAATTAAAACTTTTGCGACTACAATTAGCAAATCTAATTAAGGGAAAGCTCATGAACAATAAGGGTAAAATACATAGATAAATAAATAAATATAGATAGCATGCAAAATCACCAAGAATTGTACAGTCCGGGAACTCATACTTCTAGGGGTCACTTCAATGTTAAGCGGGGTGGTTTGGTGTTCTAATGTTCGTTGCAGATAACATTCGGATTGGGTCTTATCCAATCGACTAGGTTTAACCATTCCTCCCGAATAGAGTGTAAAGTAACTCCGGGAATGGAACTATTTGAACAACAATATTTCACTGAGCAATATATCATATTGACGAGAACTGAAGAAGGGCATGAGAAGGACTAAACTAACTTAAATTTCTCTCTTCAGAACTCATGTACACCACAAGTACTCAATGACATAAGAACAGCCAATGTTCACAACCCACCTAGTTAATCTATATAATAGGAATATCTTTAAAACATCTCTGTACATTTATATCTTTCAAGATGAAAAATGTCGTCTTATGCGCCGTCTAGCTTTATCTATGGTAAAATACTGCTCTGTTGGAAAAGTATTGCATTGCCATTGATTCTTCACCAAGCTCTTTCTATCAGAGTGTTCATGTCTATTCCTCTCCTGTGGCAGCATTTTTGGAAAACTAAAGTTGTTAATTTTCATGAGAAAATTTGGTTCATTTACATAACAGCAGTTAGATTTACATCTTTGTATGGGTTAGAAAATAATGGCTAAATTAATTATGGCATGTGCAACCATTATGGCAAGTGTTATTTATGGCAAATATTATTTTTGGCGAAAGTATTTATGGCAAGTGTAATAATTGTGGTAATTGTAATTATGGCAAATGTATTTATGGCAAAAGTATTTTAGAATATGTAACTGAGCCGTACAATGACCTAGCGAATCCAAAGCTTTAAAGGGAGTGACCGCGTAGACATGGTAATTGACCGAAAGTGCAGTATTTTAGTGAATTTTTAAGGATTAATTTAATACCAAAAAAGATTTTCGCTTTTGCTGAACTATTTTACACCGAAATAGTGTCTAATAGGTCTCGAATGAATTCTTACAAATTTCTCTACAATACTGCACTATCAGCTCAACTACCATGTCTCCGCAATGTAAAACTAAATGTTTCTCGTAATTGTGTAAGAAAATATGGACGTATAGTTTTAATTGACCATATAGTTGTTTGCTTGATTTAGTTGGAGCAAAACTATTGAGTTGGATTAATGTTTCTTCTTCTCTTAATCCATAGCTCTTCAGTTGGATGAGTTATGATAGCTCTTCAGTTGGATGAGTTATGATAGCTCTTCAGTTGGATGAGTTATGATAGCTCTTCAGTTGGATGAGTTATGATAGCTCTTCAGTTGGATGAGTTATGATAGCTCTTCAGTTGGATGAGTTATGATAGCTCTTCAGTTGGATGAGTTATGATAGCTCTTCAGTTGGATGAGTTATGATAGCTCTTCAGTTGGATGAGATATGATAGATCTTCAGTTGGATGAGTTATGATAGCTCTTCAAGTGGATGAGTTATGATAGCTCTTAAGTTGGATTAGTTATGATAGCTCTTCAGTTGGATGAGTTATGATTGAAAACATAAAATTTCATTCATACGTGCTATTTACTCTAATTTAACATAGCAATTTTACATTTATTGTTTCTATATAATACTTTTTAAATTTTGATAAATTTTAGAGACTACCCTGACTACCCAACTATACCGGCCAACTTTCCAACTCATAATAAAATGTTAAGCGCTAGAGGACCAGGTAAATATGTTTTGAAAATTTAAAAAATAAAAAATTTATCCTAAGTTAAAACTTTTCTGTGAAGTGACGCTTATGTACAAGACTTGATCTCGAAATCCAATGTGACTACTTTTGTATTTGAGATTAGCGCTTGCTCCCTGATGTTCAGGGTACAATCCCATTGTGATAAGTTTGGCATAGTGTAAGAAAGTAATGAAAGCCAATTTTTAGAATTAACAATCAGAACCAAAAACGAACCTAAAACGAACTAAAAACGAACCAAAACCGAACCAAAAACGAACCAAAAGCGAACCAAAAATGAACCTAAAACGAACCAAAACGATTAAGAACCCAACTTCTTCTCACTATGGATGATTAGATTTCCCAATCTTTAGTCACTTTTTCTAATTAACAAGTTTTCAAATAACATTTTTGGAATAAACGATGTAAACTGGTGATTACTCTGCAGCAAAATAATTAAGTATATAATAAGGGCGGAAAAAATAATGCTTTTGTTCATCTCTTCATAATTTTAAAAAAATGCAATCTGATAATTTTCGGATAAAAATAGTGACAAAGGTAATAATTTAATTTATGTTCTCTAGAACATTCGAAATTCAAAGAATTAATTTATTTAATAATAAGCATAAAATTCATTATTTAATTTTTGCATGGCCATTTTTTAAAGTTTGATTTTTTTATTTTAGGGTCTGAACTATTTTTGACTGAGAGGAATAAGGAATACAAGAAGGTTTTAAATCAGCTGGAGGACTCCAGATTTTGAAATTTTAGTTTAAGTACATAAAAAATCATCATGATTTATTTGATTTAGGGAGGTTTGTTCAACCCTCGGTATTTTAACTAATTTTTACCGATATTGCTTAATTTGCGCTTATACTTTAACTATTGACCTATAACTAAAATTACTGAAATTGGATAAATTTGGTCATTAATTGAATTTAATTGTATTGTGAAGTTAAAGTATGTGCGTTTAAACCATTGCTTTACTGTACATTGTACAGTGTACAGTTATGTACATAGTATTGTACAATAATTCTTATATTATTCATTTAAGTATTTTTAAAGTTGGTAATAATGTCACTGACTTAGAGTAATAAATGTTAACACTCTGAAAAACTCTGAAGTTTGTTGTAAATAACAGGTGTCAAGAACCCGAATTTCAGAGCATGGCTCATTAAACATGATTGTAACAAGATGACAGGGCCATTTGTAATTTTTTAAATTGTTTTCGAAAAATAAACCTTTTTTCTGTGTAACGTCAATCACAAAATTCCCCTAGTTCAGGCTTTTCCAGAATGTGGTCTGCCTGTGCTGTGATGTCAATATTACAGAAGATGTTGAGGATTTTCTACAGATTTCAATATATTTAATTAATTAAACCAATTTTCGAAATCTGAACAAAATTCGTCATATCTTCGGTAATACAAACAGCCCAATTTTGGGGGATCTTGTGATTATTGACTGCAAAATTTTACTAATAAAATTAGGTTAACGATTGCATCTGCATCAAATTTGATTAGATTATGATTCAAAGATTCAAAGAATTATAAATACTTAATTGTAAACCCAGTTTCGCCGGGAAACTAAACTTTCAAGTTAAAGTACAACAATTTCTAAAACCTAACTAATAACAATCATGTGGAGTGTTAACAAATCAAAATCGGTCAAGACTCTGACTCTAAAACAGAGTTTAGAACTTCAGATGTTTAGAAGACGACCTCAGGATTTCTTAAAAGAATTTATTTCAAAGACAAATACATAAAAAAGGTATGACATGATTTTAACACTTTTCTCATGATCATTTATTATCATGTTACAGAACCGGAATGAATATTTTATAAATCAATTTGACAAATTGATTGATTTTATTGATTCGTATTTTAAGCAGTTGCTAGCTCTCGTCTTGACGCCTTCCTCACCCATGGTGGATGCACATCCTAAAAAATTAATCAGTAAAAAAATTTATTAATTTAAAAATTTCGGTTTTCAAAATGTGGTCTGCATTTTTTTGCGCTTTCAAAATACGATATGTAGATTTTCGATTTTTTATAAACTTAATAAATTAACCCAAAATTGTCTTGTTCTGAACGAAATCGTTCATATCGTCGGAAACAAAATATCACCGTTTCTTTTTAACATCAAAATGACGACTCTTTTCATTTCATTTTTTTGGCGACACACTGTACCAAGGAATTACGCAGAATTTTGCCAATTAAATTTCACAAGAATTTTTAATGACACTAAAGTTGGGATGCGCTAAAAAAACCACGCAAAAAAATATGTATAATTGGTCAATATATGTGTTTTCTTTAAAGTTAAGAAACTAGGATTAAAAAAAATCCCTTCTATTCCCGAAAAGTTTGATCATTTAAAATAGATGCATATCGACTTTGCAGGAAATCATTTTTAGGAATATTTTTGATTGGTTTGATTGATTCTCATTTCAGTATTTGGGTTTTACCTCGGCAATTTATCAAAACGGAATCAGCATTTTATTCAGCACATTGCAATTCACGCTTAAGGATTCAAAATAATTCTTGGCCTTCAGATGAAGATATTTTCACAGCGTTAAAATGATTTAAAATATAGTTTTTGACAAATTTTCTTGTAATTTTATGAATGAATTAGAAGTTTTTGTTTTGGAAAACTAATTATTTTATTTTTTTTAAATCGTTCCACAATTCTAAGGTTTATAGTTAAAAACTTTCTTACTAGCGCGCGAAATCAGATGAAAAAAGTGTACAATGTGTCATTTCTTAAAGATTAGTTTTTTAAATTTGTTAAATTCCTTAGCTCCCGCAGCTGTTAGCATAACTTCTATGGCATCCTGTCCGTACCTAAAAACAATTATATTATGCTAAAATTTCGCGTAGATATTTTTGATGTTCTGCTTAATCCTCTCTGGGAAAAAGCCCCAATTTTCCGAAGGCCTAGGTCAAAATGTCACTGGAAATAAAGTCCCGAGTTTTATATTCCGGGGACTTTTTCCCTTAAATAATATGGGGATAAAGTCTCAGGAAATATGATCATAGGAATTCAAGTCCTTAAAGGGACTGTACAGGAAAAATGAAAGGGGGTATGGGCTGAAAGCTAAACACTTTAGCTCTTGATTGCGACCCATGAAAAGTCTATCTGGTGTTCCTGTCTCGATAAATTGATATAAAACTGTGTCAATTTTATACGAAAGTTCATATATATAAAATTTTGTATAGAAATGGTTGGTTTAAAGTTAAAACAGATCATATTCAGCAAATACGCAACCAATCTGAAATCAAAGATATATTCCTAGAGGAAGCTAATTGTTTTCTCCAATCATTATTTTACAATTGTTATTTTTATTTTTAATAGATATAATTGATAATAATATTTATAAGTCCGTATTATGTCACAAGAACTCCATCCAATGAGAGTGCAATAAACTGGTCACATGTCTAGCTCTGTCTGAATCATTCAGAGAGATGGCATGATCGTTTAAAACGACAGTATTGAAACATCTATCGGAGAAATAATTCAAAAAAATTCTTTCATTGTCTTACAGAACAAATTCGCAAGTTACTTTAGCAAGGGAGTTGCAATTAATCAGCCGAGGTTGAATTATTCCTGTTATAAAAGGGAAATGCAAATAATTTTAGGGTCCCTTGGCCGGAAATGCGTTTATAGTCCCTTTTAAAGTCTGTAGAACATTCGGAGGAGAAGTTAGGGTAGGTTATCTAAAGAAAGTTATCCTATTAGCAAAACAGCACGAAACTGGAAATCTGGAAAAGTAATATATAATTTTCCACAAAGAAATTCAAGCTAAATAAAATCGTGTTTTTTAATGATTAAGAGATCTTGTTTTAACTGCCTTCCTTAGTGTGTCCCACGAAACATTACACTTGATAAATAGTTATGAATGTCGTCTTCCATACACTGTATAAGATATTAAAGGTTTTTGAAATCAATTTTTCTGTAACATGGCTCCCATATTATATTTTTATTTTTGTAATTGTATCAAACAACTTAACAAATTATGGAAAAAGACATTCTAAATTATTCACCAACTGTCATGTTTCGTGGGACACCCTGTAGCTGAACAGCAGCTTTTAAGAAAAGCAATATTTGACTTTAGAAATTATTTGACTTATCGGGTTACAGAATCATATACAAATACTGTAAATGAAACTTAATATTTACCGATCTTTCTGCTAATAATTCTTTTATTAAAGAGATAAATATTTCGCTTTTTTCCCTTTTTACTGTGCAACATTTTGATGTTTTGATAAATTAAATTGCGAAAGCAAGTTTACAAAGAAAGATTTTAAAATAATCTTATTGACAAAGGCATGTGTATTGTAAGTATTGAAAAGTTTGATGATGATGATGATGATGATGATGATGATTGCCCTTATTTTTGTCCCCCATCATAGCAATTTAATGAATGCTGCTATGTACTAAAAAGTGAATTTATGTGAAGGACTTTTTCTGAAAAGAGAACGCATATTTAAAAAAATTGCGAACACGATCCGAAAAAAAGAAAATCTCAAATAGAAAATTATTTTGCAATTGATATATTTGCTTTTCCAGTTTCTTCCCTAAAGGGAAACATTGCAAAAATAATTTCAACAAAAAAAGAGAGTTTTTAAACTTTACGCTAAAAAGTCCAATTAGTAGACATAAAAAAATGTTGTGAAGCAAAACTTAGTGAATTTTAAATAGTATGTATGTCGAGAAAAAAAATTATGGAATTGTTTTTATTTGAAACGACATGAATACCCCAAGAAACAAGAAGATTCTCAAATATCGAAACAGACCATAACAGACAAATTTTGGCTCTTTGTGACTTTTGATCATAATTTGACCTGTTTAACTTTAATCTTTCTCGTTCTCTCTTATAACTTTTTTGTTGGCAAAATCGTTTGCAATGAAAAAGTATAAAAAATAACTTTTAAGTTAAAAGATATGAAATGTACAGAATATAACGCTATAGAATTAAGATTAAAGGATCCGATCAGCCCTGGTTCGTCCAGTGTGAGTATTTATCCAGAGCCCGCGGTTTTAAAAAAATCTGGAAAGTAAGACTCAGTTCAAAGCTGTTATATTGAGACTAATTTAAGATCTAAGTTGATGCTACGGTTTATTAAACCGGTTTAATATTGTATTTTGCGGGTTTTCATCGTTAAAGTTTGCGGATTCCTGGATTCGCTGATAACAAGACTTGAGACTAATTCTCTAATAAAACCAAGCAAGGCCGGGTATTTGGCAAATATTGCTATTTGACAGATACATTGCATTATTTTACTCTTGTTGACTTGGTTGAGAACTAAACTTTGCTTGGAATTTCCTCTATAAAGTCAATCCATTCAACTTAGAATTTTCAAACTCCAAACATTCCTGTGGGTTTCCCGTGTTCCCCATTTAAACTTTGAGACAGATTGAATCTGAGTTATGATCGTACATCCAAACAAAACTAAAATCACAGACAAACAGAGATTATTTACATACAGAATATATCCGGCAAAACAGGATGAATCATGAATCATAGCTTGTAAACACCTAATTGAACATAATTACCTCTTTGCAAGTTTAAGAGGTGTCATGTTCTTATAATCCAACTCATTTACATTGGCTCCTCGTTCTATCAATAGTTTACACACCTCCTCCCTTCCACAGCACACTGCGTCATGGAGGGGTGTAGAGTATCTAAATAATTTTATAATAGTTATAAAAATATTCTGAATTATGTAATCATTAACTTCCATCCTGGACAGAACAGAATAATATTATTGTTATGAAGAGAAAATACAAACATCTTTGTTTTGTTTTCTTTTGTAATATTATTATTGTAACGACCTAACTAGTGTTTGCTAATCCTACAGGGTGTTAGATAATATTTGCATTAATATCAACAATTTTTTAAACTGCTAAAATACCACAAAATTTCATGCTCCCTAAAACTTGCGTTGACAATTTTTTCGCATTTCTTTATTATTCTTATTTTTGTTTTTAATCATAAAACTTAACATGCATCAATAATCGTAGATTTGTGAACTAAAAGATGAGAAGAAATGTTTGTTTAATAATCAATATTTTTCCTTATTGCCATATTTTTGGGAAGTTTTTGCAAAAAGAAGTAAGGGCAAATCAAGTTAAAAAAAGACAGTTAGTTGAAATTAAAATTAAATTAAAAATTTAAAAAATCAAAAGTGAGATTTAACATTTTTGTGCTAAATTGACAGTTAAACCCTATTAACATAAACGAGACGTGTGTAGAGACTAGAGATTTAAAGCTATTTCGTCACTTTAAGTGACATATTTCATTTGAGGAAAATTCCTTTTATGAAAGATAGATTTAAAATTATTGTTTAACGGGGTAATGGATTAAATAGTGTTTTTCAAAATTTGTTCTCTATTAACAGTGTTTTAATAGTGTTTCAGCAGTGTTTTAACCGTGTTTTAACAGTGTTTTAATAGTGTTTCAACAGTGTTTTAACAGTGTTTTAACAGTGTTTTAAAAGAGTTTCTACAGAGTTTCAACAATGTTTTGATAGTATTTCAACAGTGTTATAACAGTGTTTCAACAGTGTTTTTAACAGTGTTTTAACAGTGTTTCAATAGTGTTTTAATAGTGTTTCAACAGTGTTTTAACCGTGTTTTAACAGTGTTTTAACAGTATTAAAACCGTGTTTTAACAGTGTTTTAAGTGTTGAAACCGTGGTTTAAAGTTGGAAAACATAAAGATATAATATTGCTTAAATTGCAGACCCAAGACTACGGTCAGGGTTTTAATGTGATTCTGTCTGACTCAAAAACTTAGGCTTACTAAGCATTTGTAGACTTTTAGACATCTTTTCTTAGTGACAAGTCCAATAATATATTTCAATATTTAGAAACGAAAGGTTTATACTTTCCTCAAACTCTTATATTTTTAATCCTTATATCTTTACAACCTGATTGTTATGTCAAAGCCGTTGGTATAACGGTTAAAACATGTCACTTGAAATTAATTCAAGAAAGAAAATATATTTTACAAAAACTTCTCATGCACGCAGCAATACACCTGCCTACATCAAACGAATACTTTTCTAAAAAGATTTTCATAAGATTTATTTTTACAAATTTGCACAGATACTTAATTAGCCGGTCATTTTCATGTCCGGAATTCTGTTTTGCGAAAGAAAATTAGAACATTTGTTACTATTTTGACAGCATCATAATGGATAGCTCCCCTGTCGCCCCCCCCCTTTATAACTGTTAAAAGAAAAGAATTTTTGCTGCAAGTTTGTTCACAGTTGAATTAATACGTGTGTAATATTTGAAATTTAACTTGACATTTTTCTTGGACATTTCTCTCAAATGTTGTTTATAGACAGGGTTACTCACAACGGATAAGACTTCAGAGACGATTGTACGGAATTTTTACTCTCTATTTTCTTAACATTACGATTCCCTGGGACTGTAAACTTGTGTCTTTCTTTGTCAAATCTGTATATAAACCATTTACATACTGCACGTGAGACAGAACACTTAACTTGACTATTAATTCCAAGGGCAACCTTTCCAGTCCCAATTTGTACTGTATCGCCCGGGCATTGGGTAAATAAAGCAGACGCTGAATAGGGACTACCCGGTGCAACAAGATTGACGCGGTCAGACTTTTACTAAAGGGTCAGAGGTGCGTGAATCGTTATATTTAAAAAGATTTAGATCGTCTAATTATAGTCTTATTCTTGTGGGTAACCCTGTAATTTAAATTATAGGATTACAGGAGTTGACTCAGTAACATGACTGAAGCAAAATTTAACAACAAACAAGAAAGAATATAGATACAGGGCTCCAAAAAATAGTTCTGCCTCTGCAATTTGGCTAGCTGCAGAAAACATCCAAAAAAATCATTTTTTTTTTCAAAATTAGCCAAAGTATGATTGAAGGATGGACAAGGAATGGACGATCAAGAAGAAAGAATGAAAATCAAGAAATATAGAAGTTTCAAAATGTTTCCATCTGATATCATATTGAAATTTAAAAATAATGTAAAATTTAATTAGAATAAATTATTAAAGTTAAAAAATTATAGGATTAAATGTTTAAAGGATATGAACAGAGTTAAAAAAAAAGCAATCATAATGAAATTAATATCACAATGTTTCTAGGGTGTTAGAACTCAAACAGTCTAATCCCTATTTTTTTGCAACCAGATGTTGTAAACCTTTGATATTTCACACCTAGATTATTCAATCTAACATAATTTATAGTTTGAAATATCAAAGGTCTACGCCATTAGGTTACAAAGATATAGGGATTAGAAAATTAGAGTTTGTGGCAAAAACTTATTTTTTTTTATAATTCTGAGAATAATGCTGCAAAAATATGACGAATTTTATAAAATATTTTATCCACGCGGCATTTTCATTAACACAATTCAAAACAAATAACACCCCGAAATATCTTTCGATTTTTAAAATGTGGTCTGCCATTTTTGTGCCTTAAATATTGATGGAGATGTATTGCTTTTATGATAAAAGAAGTTAAATCCCTTTTAAGAGACCATTTTAATAATTCAATAATGTTTATTATGAACCTTTTTTAGCTTAAATCTAATTTCTAATCTTTAAATATATTTTAAACATTATTACATATTTTGTATCCTTTCGGGGAAATTCAAATTTTAAATTTAATGCATCTGTTAAGATTTCACAAAAAAAACTTTTAAGATTAAAAAATTTAGTATTTGTCACTATACAGTAGTTAAAACGTTCGTATGTTTAGAAAGCATGAACATTCTCTTAGAAACACTTAAAAGGATTTTTTATGATCTGGATAATGTTTTCAAAGGAATTTTATACTTTGTCAGAGGAAATTAATTGTTCAAAATTTAGAGATGTCTCCCGTTTAAAGTGGGGATGGTGGGGGGGGGGTCCTTGCTTTAGGCTATATGCTGCATTTATTTACCATTTTTAAAAGCAATAATATTTCATAGGTAAAATTACCAATTGATTATTAAAGAAAAATAACAAACTGATAATGAATTGCTCCTAAACAGACAAATTTGAAAAAAAATATATATTTTATTAAAAAATACATCACTCATGGAATGTAAACAACTTCAAGTCTAAAATTGTTGTTTCTTGTCAAAACATACAACTTCAAGTCTAAAATTGTTGTTTCTTGTCAAAACATCTATAATTTTGACAAATTTGTTTTGAAAGCCCATATTTAGAAATGCAAAATAAAGTAAAAAAACTTGTTTCAGAACATAAATGAAATTGAGTCTTTCCCACAAACTAAAATTTTCTAATCCCTATATTTTTTTGCAGCCTGATAGTGTACACCTTTTTAAATTTCAAATTTATATTATTTGATCTGCAGAATTCATTATTCAACCGGATTAGATAATCAGACTCAATTCCTAAATGAAAGAAATAAAAAATCTCCATAAAAAAACACATCACTCATGCACTTTAAAGTGCAGCAAACAAGTTGAAGTCTAGAAATTCTTTCTCGTATAAAACATCTATTTTTGACAAATTTGTTTAAAAGAAAAATCTGTATTTAAAAATGAATATAAGGATCCATTTGCGCAAGCATTTAAACAACCTCGCGATAAATATATTCTTTGAGGGTTAGTTCGGGTTAAGACAATTTCCGGGTCAAGCGCTGTGGCTAGTACAGGCTAGAGTGCCGATCGCTGCGGTTAGAACATATTAGGGGGGCCGAGCACTGCGGTTAGAGCAAGTTAGGGTGCAGAGTGCCGCGGCTGAGACAGATTTTTATATAAAGTCTTGCAAGGTTAAGGAGAGGAAGCCAAATCACTCTTAGAAAATACCTAATATCATATTAAAGACCAAAACATGCATAAAATTTGTCACACACAAATACGAGAAAAGAAAAGAAAATTTTTTAACTTTTTCCATTATTTAATAATTTAACAAAGATAAATTGGAAAAGCTCTTTTTAAGAATTTACATTTGGTTAAAATGAAATTTAAAGGGACTGTTAAGGTAAAATGAAATTTAAAGGGGCTGTTAAGGTAAAATAACTAGGCTAAATTCTTGCAAAAACGACCATTTTATAAAACGAATCAGACCATTTATTCTCCAAAATTTAATTGGATTTCTTACAATTAGGCGAATCAAATAATGCACGATTTCAGTTTTTACATTGCTAAAAAACGGTTCAAAATTTTTTTTTTTAAATTGTTTAAATTTTCTTCTCCCAAAAACTATTTTATTTATTTCAGGTTTTTGTTCAGATTATAATTTTATAGATTGATTATTGTACAGGGTGTCCCAATAAACATGGGAATTAAGTGACGACTTTCTAATCGTCTTCGATCAACGCGGCAATTTTTCGTGAACACTTTATTGCAGTATTCCAGTTTAAACATCCGATATCGAAAACGCCGGGTCTTAAGATTTTTAATATGTGGTCGATCTACCATTTTTGTTTCTTCAAAATTGACGGAGATATTGCAAAATTTGTACGAAGTTTAATTTATTTAATGAATTAAAATTGTCATGATGTCTAATATTGTCATGATGTCTAATATTGTCATGATGTCTAATATCTTCAGTTTTTAAGAATTTTTATGAAAAGCTCGGAAGACGTTCAGCCACGTTTTTATACCTTCTTTGCCATGCCTGAAATATTAGAAATCAAAGACGAATTTTAAGTTGTTTCTTAATTACCATGTTTATTGGGACACCCTGTACATACCGAGTTAACCATAGACAGGGTGAATGGACAAGGACAATATCAATAAATATGACAAACTTTGGAGAACATTTTTTTTTTAATTATGCCTGATATCACGTATCATGTTAATAAAGAAAAAATGTATAAGAAAAGTTTGATTTAAGATATATATATATTATACCAGCTGAACGGCACGGCGTTGCCCGTGGAAAAAAAACTAAAAAACATTCGAAAAAAAATTTAAATTTTGAAAATTAAATTTAAAACTTTGAAGAAAAAAAATTAAGTTTTTTTTAGCCTATGTCACCCCCAGGCTACCATGAGTGTCCACTAAAAATTTCAGCCCATTCGGTCCAGCCGTTTGGCCGGCTTATAGGCAACATTATAATGAATGTCTTGTTTTATCATGTAGACTATATATTTGGATATTATATAAATTATATATATTTATAATATTTTTATAATACTACCTTGGGTAATATTTCTGATTCACATCCTCTCCAAGATTTAACCTAAACATTGTTTATATAAGAGGCGCACCTTAAGGTATTACAAGAGGGGTGGGGAAGGCAAAAATTGATAAAACATCAAATAGATGCCTTTTCATCACATAATTTTCTCATGATTATTTATTTTGACACAGAAAATATTTAATTTTATTGAGGGGGGGGGGGAGATTACAAATTTTATGCATTAAAGGGGCTGTAAGCGTTATTTAAAGTAACCCTCCGTGCAAAGATGCCAATGCCCGTGTCAGATTTACAACAGTATCCAATTGATTCTTGAAACCTTAATCTGATAAAAACATTTCTGTGAATTTCTTGATTGTTTCGTTTAAGCACGAAATGGGCAAACACAAATGAAAATCTTTAGTTTAAACAAAAACAAGGATATGGAATTCAGAATAGATCAGAAAAGCTTTCACTCCTGTATGTCAAGTCCATTAGCGCCTGAACCAATCAGGGTTCAGCCATGTGTTTTGTTATCTATTCTGAACCAAGAGAAATAGTATGGGAATAATACCTTTCTTTCTATATATCTCATTATCCAATAAGAGTTATGAATCCTTCAATCCTTCAGTAAATGGAAATATTTACTTCTATTGAGACTGTAGTGCTTTCAATGGTTCCGTAAATCGGGCATATGTCATCTTTGCATGAAGGGTCACTTGATAATATGCTTTCATTCCTCTAATAAAGGACACAAATGCTTTAACAAATTCTAAAATACTTTAAAAGTTGCAATTATCATATATATAACACACCTGATAAGAACCTCCTCCAAGTTTCCGGCCATCGCTGCGTCATTCAGATTTAAAGACATCTTTAAATAAAATTTATAAAAATTGTATATTTCTAAAACAGAAAAGTTTTTTGTTAGAAATTTTACAAAAAAATGAGTGGGCAGTTGGGTGGATGTAAAAATATCGTGTTTTTTTTATTTTTCTGTTAGTTTTTTTTTGAAAATAATTATTTTATGGTTTTATATTCTCTCTAAAATTAATGTACTTTTTCTTTGTGAAAGCTTTTGAATAAATTATTTTGTAAAAGCTTTTAAATAAAAAAGTTTTGATTTAATAAAAGAAAAAAACATATTTTCACTTGTAAGAGAAAAAATCGTTTCATTTGCCATGAATACGTTTTCCATAAATACAATTGCCACAATATGCATTTACTTTAATTAACAATTGCCATTAATTACGCTTTCCATTATGGGTACACTTTCCATGTAATAAATATTGGGTATTCTGCAAACCTGCAGTACGTTGTACTATTTACGTTTGTAAACTTTTACGTAAAACCTATTATTCATTCAAACTGCACTTCATGATTAGCTTGATCATGTGATATATAATAATGTACATCTTAAATTAAGCCTATTACAACTGTGATGTAAATAACTATGTAGCATGATTATCTTTAATCATGTGATATATGATAATGTACATCTTAAATTAAGCCTATTACAACTGTGATGTAAATAACTATGTAGCATGATTATCTTTAATCATGTGATACATAATAATGTACATCTTAAATTAAGCCTATTTCAACTGTGCTGTAATACGTAGCATAATTGTCTTAATCATATATAGATAACGTGATATAGATAACGACGTAGGAATTGTAATTACGTCTATTAACTTAACTTGGAACATATAAATTTAAAATACATTAGTTGATATAGAGAGTTGTTAAGAGTAATTTGGTTTCGTTGAAATATACAAATTAAGATAGTTGCCTTGAAATTTGGCTTGATTGATTCATTGCTAGTGTCCGTATTGACATCTGTAGCTAATGAGATCGCGCCCAGTGGTAGTGGTGCTGATAGTTCATGGGATTATAGCCGTGTGTTGACATTGATAGTCAAGAGAGTCTGAGTTGTTCCTGGATAGAAACGTGTTAGAGAAACTGTTATGGAGTAGGCATTTTCTACAGCCATACTTATAATTAATCTGAGAATATATAGAACTCCACTTTCTGATTTGAACCAGTATGTAAAACTATAGTTGGGAATTTTCATGAAAAATTTAGGAAAAATTAAGTTAGATTTTTACTTTTAAGAAAAAGGAAATAAGGCAAAGTTAATGATCGGCAAGTGTAATTCTGGGCAAACGAATCCATGGCAAGTGTAATTATAGGCAAACGAATTCATGGCAAGTGTAATTATAGGCAAACGAATTCATGGCATAATCCCGGAACTTAAAAATAAAGGGAAATTCTTCTCACTTTGTTAATGGATCACAAATTTAAAAATCAATATGAGACAAAATTTTAAACTTTTAATTAAATAAATTTTTGAAAATTAAAAAAAAATATTTTTCCTTCTAGATAAGTATTTTCTCACTAACAACGTCTATAATATTACTAATTCACAGTGATACCTTTCTCAAGGTCAAATATAGATACATATTTCCCTCAGGGTTAAATATTTTTTTTTTTGACTTTTTTTGTAATAGGTATATTTTTTACGATAACATTTTTTAAGACTGGGTTTTATTTTTTTTCAGGTAGAAAATCTTTGTGAAAAGGATTTAACTTTTGTTTCAAATTTTAAAAAAAACTTAAAACTCTTCACAAAACAGTTCTAAAGAACTTTGATATTTCAAACTATAAATTTGTAAGTTTGAAAAGCCAAAGGTTGTAATAAAATAGAAATTAGAAAATTATAGATTGCGACGAGTGTTCATGGTGTTCAGGGTCCATTATATTTTTAAAGGTTTTATATAAAAGAACACGTAACCAAATTGAAATTTTAAAAGTAAAAATTCTGAAAAAGATGCCAAAAAAAAATTCCAGCTTTAGATTGATTTCAGATAAAAGTGATTTATAGATTTAATTATAGTTATTTTGTTGTGCCCCTCCCCCGTACTTTTTAAAAAATCCTCCTTAAATCACCCCCCTCCCCCCCCGCCCTGTGAAATGATCTATTCGCCCCTGACAAAGGCAGACTAAAATATGTCGGTCTATGTAAAAATAGGCAAAAAGAAAGAAGAGAAGGTGATTAGACCCAGGTATTTTTTAAGGAATTCAGGCAAAAGTAAATCTTAACTAAGGGGAAAAATACAGGAAGGCTCATTAGCTCAAATTATGTATTTATTAGGTGAAACTGTTCAATATCTATATATATATACTTTGTTTTGGTGTCTGTTTGTTTGTTTGTAACCAATAAACAAATCAAAAAGGCCGAACCGATTTTTTGTGGGTCCCAGGATAGGTTTAGAGAAGATCAAAATTGGAAAAATATTCCTGGAAAATAGTGTTTTAGAAATTCGAAGAAGAAAAATCCGCCAAAATTTAAAAATTATTTTAAATGCCGACTTTCAGAGCAAAAAATTATTTTCAGGAAAAGGGGCGCGCCCTAAAAGCCTAATTTTCTAAACTTTGTGTTCAATTTTTGTTAAAAAGATAAATTTACAGAACTGAAAAAATTACAACCACTTAAGTTTCTCTCAGAAAAAGAATTGTTAAAAATACATTTCCAAATTTTAATTGGAAACGGTAATAATACCAACTACTGAATATATTTTACATTTACAAACTCTTATCATGAAATATGAATAAAGCTATTCTCGAAGTTTCTAAAATATTTATTGCGCGGAAAGATTTTTTCCGTCTCGAATTTTGAAAGAATTCAATCGAAGGACAAAAATTTGCAATAAATTCCTTTCAAGACGCCATTAAAAAAATGGAGGCATACTGATAGAAAATAAAGTTCTTTGTTGGCAAAATATTTGGCAATGTTGCAGACCTGTACATCTGCAGACTTGAAATTAATGTAAACATTGAACTTGAACTTGACTTGGAGCATTTGTTTGCAAGAGAAAGAGAATGCATTGCACAATACTCATGACTAAACTTATCAGATGATAAGATTAAAGTGGAATCTGACCTTTTTAACATTTTTTAAAAAACTTTTTACAGAGTGTTTCTGAAAAAATTAATGCCTGTCGTAAATTGAACTTTTATTGTCGCTTCTTATCGAAAGAACTCTTTAAAATACTTTTTTAACCTTTTACCAATTAGTTTTAATTTGGTAAACAAAATTCAATTGAAACTGAAACCCTTCAACTCTGATATTTCAAACTTACACTTTTTAATCAAACAAAATCTCCAAGGTCTACGTGAGTACCGGATTAACAAATCGGAGTTTGTGGCAACTTTTTGGAAATAGAAAATATAGAAGGGGGGGGGGATAAGTTAATTTCTATAATGTATTTTTCCTTTCTTAACGGAGAAAAAGTGAAGCATATCAGAGCTACTAAAGAACTACTAATGAGAACACTTAACATTGAAAAGCTTCCTAATTTCTTTTTTACTAAAGTACTGAAAGACCGAGGGTTAAGAGATATTTTAACTTACAAATTCCTTTGTTTTCTATATTTCTTTATGCGTTGTATATATTTTTAAGAGAGGTTCGGGCCTGTACTTGCTGCTCGTCACTAAGGGGGTTGGTACAAGGGGTCGGTCCGGTACTTGCTGCTCATCACTAAGGGGGGTGGTACAAGGGGTTGGGCCGGTACTTGCTGCTCGTCACTAAGAGGGGTTGTACAAGGGGTCGGTCCGGTTCGAATTCAAATTGACCCTAGTCCAGCGTGAGAGATATACTGTGATCAACCTTTATAATATTGCCTTCCCTCTATAGTTTCAGCAGAAGTAAATATTTCCATTTACTGATGATAGCGCCGATTGAAGGATTCATAACTCTGATTGGATAATGAGATAGATAGAAAGATAGATGTTAACGCCATGCTATTTCTATTGGTTCAGAATAGACAACAAACACATGACTGAACCTTGATTGGTTCAAGCGCTAATGGACTCGACATACAGGAGTGTTCTGTTAAAAGAGGGGCTTCCCCGGATTCAGAATGATATCCGTAAAACGTTTTACTTATCTAGGATGACAGACTTTCCTAAATTATCTTCAGAACAACTTTCATGTTTTTTGTTTGTGTTGAAACCATATGGATTATCTAATTTATTCGTAACTTGGTTCATGTTACAATTGTTACATTTATAGGAATTCAGAATTGATGAAAAATATATCTTTAAAAATATGTTTTTGAACATATTTATTTACATATTTACTACATATTTTCTATAAACAATTCTAATCAACAACAAAGCTTGGAAATTTTCAAAACAAAATAATAAATTACATTGACGCCTGGTCAAAATGCAAACTTTGGCATTTTTCTACTTATTTTTGAAAGCACAAATAAATAAATAATTGTCAATTCTAACTAGCTACGCTATAAATCAATTTAAACATGAATCTAATATAAGAATTGTTCGGAAATTAAAACTTTTGAAAACCCTTTTCATTCCTATTAATTTATTCTATGCACATTTCTTTTCTTGAAGCCATTTTCGGCCACCAGGTGGTGCAAAAGTGGTGCTGTGTTGGCGGGTTTAGAAGTGGCGCTGTGTTTGCGGGTTTAGAAGTGGCGCTGTGTTGGCGGGTTTAGAAGTGGCGCTGTGTTTGCGGGTTTAGAAGTGACGCTGTGTTGGCGGGTTTAGAAGTGGCGCTGTGTTTGCGGGTTTAGAAGTGGCGCTGTGTTGGCGGGTTCAGAAGTGGCGCTGTGTTGGCAGGTTCAAAAGTGTGACGTAATGTCATTCCTAACTATTGAATAATTTGTTTAATAAATCATAATAAAAATCACTGGCAAGTTGAGTTGAATATTGTAATAAAATTTTTTGATTAAAATGAAAAATAAATCAGAATATTTTTAACTGCTTAAAATTTTTGATATAATTAATTCAATAATAGTGACAGTGAATTTAATAATCCAAATCATATTAATCCCCTACAGGAAAAGGTGAACATTAATACTTTGTAACCCAGAAATCTTCCTCAATTGTTACTTAGCAGTGGGTTTAACCCTTTAAAGGCTGGGGGGTCTGAATCTATGTATAGCCTGGGGGAGGGCGTTTGGCGCCCCCCCCCCTAGAAAAAGGCCTTAGAGAATAGGTATAGTGTTGAAATGAATGTTCAAAGCCCAATTTTTCATGGCCAGCTCAAAGAAAAACTTTAATTGTTTTGAAGTAAATGTAAAAAAAAACATTTGTTTGTTTTTAACAAAAATGTTTCTGCATGCATTTTTCAAGGGCTTTTCAAAAACATAGTTTTTAGATCTGTAGCTTTAGTCACAAAAAAATTAACGGGCTATTTTAGATTTTTTGTCCCAGACAGGACTTTTTTCGGCCCTGTACCACACCCTATAAATTAAAAAACAAACAATTTTTTAATAAAAAATCCGTTAAATTACTATTCATTAAAAGTCACAAAATTTCACGGTGATAGTGTCAAACTTGAGAGTGCTAGGTAAAAAAAAAACTACAGGGGGGGCGCCCAACGCCCCCCCAGCCTGTTTAGGGTTAAAAAGTACCGTTGTGAATTGGACATATTCAACACTTGAAATTACGCCTATGTATTCCCTTTAAAAGAATGCCATTAAACTATGGTGCGACTATTTTCCTCAAATCCTTTCTTTTGCCACAGGGTGTCCCATTAAACAGGAGAAATTGAAGAACATACGGGGTGCATCTAAAAAAAGTGTGTTTAGGATTTTTAGCCTGCTAAATAGCGCTATTTAACTCAATACAACGAGTCTAAAGAGTCTAAACACACTTTTTTTCAGAGACACCCGGTAGTTTGCGCCTTTTTTGTCAATCCAATTAATTTAGTATGAAACTTGAACAGTGAACAAGAAATTACTTATGTCTTGAGTTTTCTAAGATGTGTTTTTATCTGTTTTGCTACACAGTGAGACATATAATACTAGGGAATAGAAAGACTGTCAGACTCATTTTATGATAGATTAATCTATATATAAATTTGGCTTGTCTGTCTGTCTGTCTGTTTGTTTGTCTGTTTGTATCCAATAAACGTCAAAACGGCTGAACCGATCGGGCCCAAATTTTTTGTGGGACATCTAGGGACCCCAGGGAAGGTTTATGAATGATTGAAAT